GGGCTATATGAATTCCTGCGTATGCCTTTTGGACTGACTAACGCGGCACAAACCTTTCAGCGGTTTATCGACCAGGTCATTAGAGGTTTACCTGGGGTATACGCGTATATCGACGATTTATTAGTAGCTAGCACCACTAAAGATGAGCATATACAACAACTACGGCAATTATTTATACGACTCAGAGAACATGGTATTTCTATAAATATTGAGAAGTGTGAATTCGGAAAAGAGTCCTTACAGTTCCTAGGTCACAATATAACTTCTCAAGGCATCACACCAATAGCAACAGAAGTCGACGCCATTGGGAATTATCCACTACCCGACTCATGGAAAAAGTTACGCCGATTTCTCGGGTTATTAAATTATTCCAGACGATTTATCTCGAATTGTGCGTCAATGTTGCAACCATTAACAGATGCGTTACGCGGGCACACACGGACATTCCAATTATCACCAGACGCGATTCAAGCATTCGAGCACGCTAAAAAAGCACTAAATAAAGAAGTAACACTAACTAGACGCAAGAGCGAAACACCGTTGGCTATCATGACGGATGCATCAGACATAGCAGTATGAGCCGTTTTACAACAATTAGTAAATGGCATATGGGAGCCGCTCTCATTTTTTTCGCAAAGACTGAATTCGACTCAAACAAGATATAGTACTTTCGGAAGAGAACTCCTAGCAATCTACTAAGCAATAAAACACTTCCGTCATATGGTCGAAGGCATAAATTTTACCGTCTACACAGACCACAAACCACTAACGAAAGCATTAAGTGCAAAGCAAGACAGTTATTCCCCGAGAGAGATCCGACAATTAGAGTTCATTTCACAGTTCACGTCCGACATAAAATACGTTAAAGGACAAGAAAATGATGTGGCCGACGCACTGTCAAGAGCAACGATAAGAACACTTATGGCAAGTGGAATTGATTATAACGGTCTGGCAAAGTTGCAGGAGAGAGACATCGAGTTAATAAACACAGATCCGGTGGTACAACATCATTAGTACTCGAAGAGGTGCGGTTCGGCAACACCAAAGTAATTTGCGATACATCAACAGGCCGACCACGACCATTTATCCCGAAAACGTTGCGACACAAAATATTCGAAAGCATGCACAACATGTCGCACCCAAGAATAAAAGCCACGATAAAGCTGATCAGCGAAAGATTTGTATGGACAAACATGAATCACGATGTACGTAATTGGACACAAGCATGCATGAAATGCCAAAAAGTCAAAGTACATCGTCATACTAGCTTTGCAGTGGGTCCGTTTTCACACCCAGACACAAGATTTGAACATATACACATCGAGATTGTAGGACCACTGCCCGTTTCAAATGGATACAACTATATCTTTACATGCATCGACAGGTTTAAACGATGGCCGGTAGCAGTACCGATAAAAGACACCTCAGCTGAAACGGTAGCCAAAACCCTAGTTGAAAATTGGATTTCTTACTACGGTGTACCAACGATTATCACAACTGATAGAGGAGCACAATTCGAAAGTCGACTCTTTCAACAGCTTACAGAACTCCTCGGTATTAAACGGATCCGAAAGACATCGTGACATCCGAAGGCAAACGGAATGGTCGAACGCTTACATAGACAATTAAAAGCGTCCCTTACAGCCATCATCGTTAACAACGATTGGTCGAATAAACTTCCTCTAGTAACGTTAGCTCTAAGAGCAACAAGTAAACAAGACATGGGATGTTGTCCAGCCGAGTTGGTATACGGAACTACCCTACGGTTACCCGGAGAATTCTTCACTTCAAGTAAAAGTGTTCCGAGTGATGTAACCGGCTATGTGCAACGCCTGAGAAAGCACATGAGCGATTTAAAAATAACACCTCTCAGACCACAACAACGACGAGTATTCATACCACAGGAACTGCATAACAGCACTCACGTATTCATTAGAAGAGGTAAAGTACAACCACCTCTTCAACCGAGTTACAACGGCCCATTTACAGTGATAGAGAGGACAAATAAAACGGTTACCATAGAGAAAGGTGGGAAGACAGATGTAATTAGCATCGATCGAATAAAGACAGCTTTTATCGATAGCGATATTCAATCAGCAAGTACAGACTCCTCCAAGATGGTCACGCCAGGGAAACACGAGTCCCAGGAATCAACGACGATAACGCGGCAAAAAGACAAGACTCCGATAACAACAAGATCTGGCCGCAGAGTAAGATGGACCCAACATTATGTCGCTACAATTTTCTATTGATAATTTTCCACTATTTTAAATATTAATTATAACTTCCACTTCATTGTATACATATGCATTATTAAACTCATGTTATACGCTATAAAACTCAACATATCTTATGTACCCTTACGCTTATACGTATGACTTTTGTTTAAAATGTAAAAACAAAACCCCATTCCTTCTATTTCTTACAATTATTTTATGTAACCTCATGGACGGGCCACAAACCAAATGTACAGCACACACTAACTTCATCTTATTTTGTATAAGCCATTTTTTTTAAAACGATTGTAACTACTCTATTCAGTTTACTACTTTTTGTGCAAACACAGACATTTTCCCATATATCTTTGTTTGCAGGGGGGAGCTATTATAGCGACTCACGTGCAATTGAGTTTATTCTCAATGAACCCAGTTAAGACCTTTTGCTAACTTATTTAGCGGACAGTCATCCGCACTATAACAATTTATTGTACCCTTATTTTATTGTGCTTGTATGAAATACGTATGCTTGAACATTGTTTAGCGCCTACGCATATATTCATCCTGCTAGATTCATTATTAACCGCTTAATCTATTCGATGACTCGTCCATTTTCCTATATATAAATGTACATTTACATTCACGACTCACTCACTACTATTACTACTACTGTTACTGCTACTACTACAACCGTAGTTAGCTTGCTCATCCATTTTGCCTCTCTGCTGTCTGGTCCGAATTATCTGCTAAATAAACTGTAGTAGCTGCTTCTTTTTACCTTATGATTTCAAACACCGTTGAAGATTGTACGATAACGGTTCGAGGGTGATTAATTATCGAAGCACAGCCATTACAGGTGCGTTATGACTCCATAGATGCAAGACCACTTGTAATAGGAAGGGATTGTGAAGTTCACTTGACGACTCTAGGTCGCTATTGAGCGTCCCTTGAAACTGATCATAGTTGAGCAGTATAAGTATGTTCGGTGAGTTATATCTACTTCAAGTAAAAATTAATGGAGGACGTACGGTAGCGGAGACATACCCAATACAACTGCCAAGGAGGATAGAAATTGAGACTAAGCGCAGAGTGTATTATGATTTAGGGATTTTGAAGGCCTATGATATATGAGTATGGCTCAGTTGTATTCGCATGTGCTACGAGCTCAGAGTAAGCAAGACCTTCATCTAGAGGTCTTACAAACGTTTGTAATTCATCTTTTATGCGTATTTCAAAGGGATGGCTTTTCCATGATAATGCATACTTGATAATAAAGATTTCATGAGTTTTGATATATTTTTCAACTTTAACAGTAGATATGTATGTCTCGAAGGTTGTACATATGTATGTACTCCAGGGTCAGTTACCGATCTGAATTTGAGCAGCACGTACTCGTTAAGTGCTTGTTTTATTTTGACATACATATTTTTAACATAGAGTTGGTCGCAGTTCTCTATGTCGAGTTCTAAGCTGAAGCACCTACAACAAATATCTACCTTGTTGGTTTTATGCCGGATTGTTTAAGTAGTACTGTGAATCTATGATTTACTTCGGTATAATTGCTACTGTAATAATAGAATTAATCCCGAAATTGTAGACTTGTCATAATGTGACTATCTAATCTACAAGATCTTATATGAAAGGCATACCATTTTTTGCACTGATTCCTCCTACCGCGACAATCAGTGATATGACGTCTAGCATTTCTGAAGAACACATTTGAGCTGGGAAGAGAATAATGTGTTTAATACAAAAAATGAGAGGTTATGCTGGCTGCGCCCGCATGACCGAGTCATACCACTTCCATTGAATGTTGCAGCGTTGCCTATTGCTTAGGACATGCACCTCAGAGTTGATATTCACACTGGTTTCGAGACCTAGAGTGAACATCAACCCTGAGATGCAGGTACATCCAGCTCACGTGTCCCAAATAGAACGAAACGCGCATTCTTGGATTCCAGTGCTAGCCAATTTCCTTTTTTTTTAATGCTTGTGAATTAAGGCAATACGTACATATGCCAATAAGAGACTGATCAATCGCAATCCTAAACATCAATGGGAAGATTCAGGTAAACAATGCCAAGTGAATTTAAGAATATTTTGATTTATTGGTTAACAAGTGTAATAAAAAATGGTCGATCATGGTCATGATAACTTGGTGTTAACGTCACAGACTACGGAGAAAGTAACTCAGGATGGAATATGTCAAGTAACAACTATTCCCTCAAGACTACACGTGCACCTTGGTGACGAGTTTAAAATAGTATGAAACCTAGGTCCAGGGATTTATACTGATTAGCTTCAACCACTTAGCATCAAAGATAAGGCGCTAAACTAAAATGTGTTAGACCTTGCTTAGCCTCAACCATTTCAAAACAGTGGACGAATTCACTTTTGCGCAATAAACAGAGATTTTCACCCATATAAAACTTGGTTATGAATGCTTTATGTTTATGTTTTTTAAACTTAATCTTTAAATAACATGAGTGTATCATAGAAACTGTCAAATATTGCAATGACCGATGAATCTCAATCTTATGAACATTCCCAGAGTTATTTTTGAAGGTTGACTCATTCAACACTTTAGTCTACCTAATAAATGATTAATAAATTTCGGCTTTTATTTTAATTGCCGAACATGAAAAACTTTTTTCTAACGTCTAGCCTAAAGCAAACACAATATACCAAAACCTTCCTGATATATATATATATATATATATATATATATATATATATATATATATATATATATATATACTGTATTAGGATTATTAAAGTTCACCATTTATCGTACAGATTTTATTTACCAACTTCAAATTAATGTAACAAGAAATATATTTGATTCAGTTATCAGATTATAGAGGAGTTAGTTTATATGCTTACGTATTCAAAATACTGAATAAATATTTCATAAGGCATAACAGACGACAAATTAGGTTGCTTACATAGCGTAAAATCAAAATATAAAAGTGAAACAAAATTCGTTCGTCAAGTAATTGTTTCATCTCGAAAACTAAATCAATTTAAACTATAGAATAAAGGAGATAAGCTTGGGGAAGCAATATTGTAACATTTAACGGTAAAATCAAAGTGACTATACCTCAAAAAGTCGAAGTAAAATGGGTATAGTATTTACTCAAACCAAATGAAGTTATAATAAATAACCTGTAATAATTAAAAATGATCAATGTTCTTTAACTAGTGAAAAAAGTTCAAGGTATAAATATTTAAACGTATAGTAGATATGTTTTTGTATACGAATGTGCAACAAGGAATTATTAGAAATAAAAAGTAATGAATGCAAACAATTGAATGGAAGGATTTATTTACAAAAATCCCTTATCATTATTTGAACTTACAACGTTGAATAGTTTTAATTCTTGACGTAGGTCGATAGATCTATTCAAGCAAACAGTCTCTGCAGTGATAACTCAACAAAGTAAAATTTATCAGAAAAGTTTAGAAGCAACAAGAATTTTAATTACTCATATTACTGACAGTTCCATAAGTTGGAATAGGTCTAGGACGAAGTGAAGGTTTAACGGATGTTGATTTTAGTTGATTTGTTTGATATTTATTATCAAATAAACCAATGTTCTCATTTTGATCTCTATGATTTTCTTCAGTTTCATTCAAAGGATTTTTTCTAAAATTAACACTTTTTTGGTTTAATACATTTGTAGTCGACTCTGTAACGTCTGTATCAGTTAAAGACTTGTCCTCATTATCAGTGGTACCAAAATTAATGTGATTCGATGAATCGATAAGCGAACTTGCATCTAATTGCATTAAAATTTTACGAAACCTAGATAACTCGATGGCATCGTTGGCTCTTAATTTCTTAATTTCATCAAGTTCATTCATAAGAGTTTGAAATCGTTCAGTTAAACACTTCTGTCCTTTTAACCAATCATTTCGAAGTTGTACATGCATTTCCTTTAAAAGAAATTCATAAAACCATATGAAGATTATTTTAAATAACCCAGAATAGGTCCAATGCAACAACTATAATGTAAATTACAATATTTAAATAAAAAATCAGAGAATTATGCAAAGGAAATCTATGTAAAGGTTGGAATTGATTTGATAGAACAACAAAGTCGTGGTGAAATAACCAAGTAAAAAGGGATTGATGATCAGTTGGTGAGAAATATATTGATGAGATTCTAGTTTGTATTGACTAAACCGACTGTGATATATGTTGCATTCGACCAGAAACTATTTAGAATTATAGGAAGTATTATTTTATGAGTAAATGAGGGGATGATAAAAATCAAATCAAAAAGTTTAGGTTAAGAATCGGAATAAAGCTAAAGAGAAAGAACAGTAGTTGTAGGTCGTAGATGGTAATAATCAGTGTACTCAAGATATCGTTTTTTTAAGTTTAATGAAAGAAATCGAAGTGGTTGAAGTATCATTCGAAATTAAATTAAGTATACTTTGGTACACTACATAGTAAAAACATAAAAATGTTCTCTATACAAGTAATTATCTAGTAGAAGTCAACTACGTCAAAGTTGTAGCCATAAATTAGCGGAGATGTTCGAAGTTGAATTAATTCCGTGTCAAAGGAATGGATATGATATTAGTTGTTATTTGATTATCTATTAATTTAGATGATTTTGAAATGAAAAGAAAGATTTACGGCTCCGTTGGACAACTTTTTGTTGTACTACCTAAACTAAACAAATTAGTTGGGAAGTTTTCATCACCACCTTGCATAACCGCATCACAGACCACATCAAATGTAAAAATGGGACTAACATATATTCCACAACGGAAAAATGTGATTAACCACATTGTTATAAGTCAAACGAACAAGATATAAAACAGGGGAAGTGAGGAAAACAAAGCCGACTACAGTAATTAATCAAAAGTATCGTTATAGGAATGAACAGATTTAACGCTTGTGTACAAACACATAAGCTCTCTTTGACATGAAGTAGGAGCTAATGTTATTGTTTAGAAAAGCAATGGAAGCTTCGCAATTAAACTGTTAAACTCAGAGAACACAACAATAATTTATTGGCTTAAATTGATATAAAAGGTTTTTGTGTGAATATTTTTGTGCTGTGCAAAAATACACTCTGCTGTAGCGTTATATTGTGTCAAGCTTTTTATTATTTAGAAAACGTCAATTCATTGCACCAACTGATGTCGCAATAAACCATAAATTGATTTGACCTAACTGAGTCTTCGTTCACTACAACGTCACTGTTTGTTTATTAACATAGGCAATAGTGCTTCGTAAATCTCACTTATCGTCTAATGGTTCTTTTATAACAATTGGGTTAAGTGAAATGCATAGGTTTGTTAAGAAAATAATGTATAAAGCATATACCGAACGAATAATGTGTTTGAAATATCCTTTAAATTATTGCAACAGTTTGATAGTAGTTACGGACTGCCAGATTAAGCATGAATAGCTTGAATGAGTAGGAAAACATCATTTACTTCACGTCTATGTGCATGTATTAGAAATTGTGGATCGAGTTAGGGCTGAAAGATTGCTTAATCCAACTAACTTGTATTTAGGGAACGTTCCATGAAACGTTGTGCACAAAATTACATTTGATTATTACGTCTAATGAATTAAAATATGCTTTAGTTGTTCTGATTATTATGTCTGTGGCTTTCATATACTTATGTTCTTCAATGATGTACGTTCTGATGAGCATTTTACAGAAAAGAGGGATAAATCGTTCAGTAGTTACCAAAAATAAGTTTCGTGAAAATATATGTATTAAAAAGTTTACTGAAACGGCAAAACCCATGTCACTACATATTTCAGAGTCAGAACTTTGTATTTACAGTACGTTAATTTGATTATGGAAGAACACTATTACACCACCCAACCTGAATTAACCCCTTTTTTGACCTCTGACCTGTTTCTAGCATATATATATATATATATATATATATATATATATATATATATATATAGTTATTTTTGTAATCCACTTATTTACACTCATTTATGTCAATTGTTTCACACTATCTCCATGTAAAAAATTCTATCACAATTTTGTTTTGTAAGCAGCTGACGAGAAACCTCGAAATAATATGAATTCATACTATTCTGCATCAATGTTTGTTCTTGCTCCATTTAAATTCATAAAGGGAACCCATTGCATGAAAGAACACTGATCAATTGTACAGCCTTTCATTTCTTTAATGTTACTATAACAAAATATTCAAGTGAACGTTTTTAATATTTTGTATATTATAATTAGGAGTTTTAACACTCACTAAAATATTCCATCAATTTGCCGGTGTTTATTTCGTTCAATCCTAATCTATATTTGATAATAATTGAAGTATTCTATCTTTTATCATAAATATAATATCTATGCCTGAAGGATTTTGAATAAAATTCAAACAAAAACATAGTTCAATTTAATGATATGCTTAAATAATACTTATTTATCTTTAATATTGAAAACAGTGAAATTACCTTTAATGTATCATATTCACGACGAATATCATGTAATTGTTGTTTAATCTCACTTTGAAATTGGTCAAATTGATGTTGTATATCATTTTGTTGGTTTTTATTACGATGATTTAATACTGCTTGATTTGATGAGATGAGTAGATTTTCAGAGCTTCGATTTAATTCTGCCGAACCATTTGAGATTTCATTGCCTTGAAGACTAGCTGAGAAATGTGATATTAAATAAAAAAACAAAGTTATTAAAGGTTAAAACATAAATATTGTATCATATTATTAAACATTAGATAAACTGAGATAAACATCTTTGTTATAATAACTGCGATATTTTAACTATCATTACAAAGATCGGCTGATGAATACTGAACCAGTTATAAACATTAGACCAGAAAAGTTTAATCATAAAACTCAAACACTAGCTAATGAAATTACTCTTAAAATTAATCTACATGATTTATTCTCCGTATTTTAAAATTCCATTTCTTTTTAGGGTAAAATATATCCGAGGTGTACTAATTCAATGATTAACTTAGTTTACAAACATAGTTTCGTTTCGAAATTTACAAAGTTATGACAGCTATATTCTTCTTTTATAATGGAAATGAATCCAGTATTTGCTTGCTTCAAGGTACACGTGCTCTAGCCTCTTCCTATTTGACTTTCTAATTACCCTGGAATTCACTGAGTATTTGTATGAGAAACGCCTTATTTATTGGATTTAATAGAAGATATAAATATAAATCCCCCACAGTTCAGTCTTCATAATTTCAGGTAGTATTTAAAATATCACGAGTAGGATGAGATTGGATATTCGAACTAGTGAATTAGAATTTTGTGGCTTAAAGTTAGTATTCATCACAAGACATCAAGGTCGTGAGTTCATTTAGTAATGGGGTAGTTGTCGATTACTATTGAGGAGTCCAGAGCTAGGACAAAGCAGCTGCCTAGTGTTCCTTGGGTTCATATGGTGCTTCAATTGGTGTCAACTCGTGACAAAATTCAATACATGATAATTAAACATTTGCGTCCGTTATCAAAGAACCGTCTATAACAAATCAGATATATTCATTTATTATATTTTAGGCTTAATATTATCATTTTACAGCACGAATGTTTTACTTATTTACCTAAGAATGTTTTTAAATTTAATATCCTCATATTTTTAGTCATTTTTTTTCTCAGGAACTGAATAGAGTTGTATCTAAAATCAATGAAATTTTATCCAATTTTATACATAGGAGTGTCCATCTAAGCCAAAACATTTCTAAAGAAAATCTTAATACAATATGTACTGTCATAGTTACTTAACAATGTAAAGCTCACAGCAAAAGATTTTTAGTAGTCCATTTAAAACTGTAAGATTTGAAGTGATACAAACAGTTTACTCTAAGAGAACCTTAAACAAATAAGAGGTTCTCAGAAGAACACGAAGTTGATAAGTATCAATCCCGAATAAAATGAGAATTGGGTAGAAAGTTACAAAGCTGATAAGTTGATATAGGTAAACAATATGTTGGATATTGGATGTTTACTACCCAAGATGGATGACTTCATTCGCTGTGTGAAGACCATTTTGATCGGACGGGATAGAAGGGTGAGATATCGTATATTCTTAATTCAGTGTAATAACTGCCCAGAATAACACTCTTTTTGATGCATTAATTTGCTCAACATAAAATTGGTCTCACTTTCAGTGCAATTTTATCCAGAATGATCTTCTTTGTATTAAATTAACGTGAACTGTATTCAGTATGACATGCAGCATGGGATTTTGTTGTCGTTTCATTACTGTAACAATTTTACAAATTAATATTCAAGTAGGTGTACAAATTATTATATACATGAGTGTATATTTTGGGTTATGGTCATCGTATTTGGAATCAATAAGTCTTCACTTGTACCAGTCTTTGTGTTCTAGCTTGACTCCATGGAACTTGTAGTGGTTCTTCGTTTTCAAGTACAAGAAACTGGCGACGCGGATATCACAAAATGAACTGAATGAATGAAGTGTAAATTTATATGCAAGATTAAGCAGATTTGTGAACGGCTTATTTTCAGGAAATAAAATGCTAAATAGTACTTTTTGCAACTTGAAATCACACTAAAAGGGAGGAATCTACCTCTATCAAGGACAATGATTATGTGTATCTATTTTATAATTAACAATAAAAACTATGACACGGTATTCTGATATTCATCGTGAAAATACGTTCTTATTCACAACGGTAACATTGGGAAGGATAAATGAAATTATATATTTGGTAAATGAATGGTAGATATAAAAACCTATACAAAATAGTTAACTTTAGAAATTACTGCGAAAGCTCAATATCAGTCAACCAGTCTATCTATCTAAGTATCTGTCGAGTACTAGCGATAAGCGTGTGCTTTTTCAGGCAGAAAAATCACTAGTTTAAATCAAGTATAACAAAACACAATTTTGGATAAACAAGCCAGTAAATCTTTCAGTTGACGTGATGTGACAAGTGTGAATACAGATTTTATTACGAAATCATAAGAAGTGGAGTTAAAATGTTCTTCCTAAAGATAAAATAAAATAATATAAGTCTTTAGAGCAGCTGAACTAGATGAATACAGACGACCACGCAGTGATTTGTTTATCTATTTATTTTTTTCTTTGAAGTTTTTAGAAATAACTTTTTCTCTGTGTAATTTAATTTTAAGGAGTAATGTTTTAACCATCTGGAAGGCGTATTGACTAGAGAAAAACATTTTTTTTCACTTATGACCAGAAAAATGTGAAATATGTCCATTCGCATTACTTACGCATGAATTATCAAGTGAGGTTCTACAAAAGTTAGTTTTAATTCTCTTAAGAAATGTTTCAGTCAATTGCGCAATGAAGTAGTTTTGGAAACATTGATCACTTGGATGGGAAATTATCCGTTTTGAGTCGTTGAAATTGTAATGAAAATAATCAGATTTACAGGCATTAAAACGATATTTGATGGATAACCATTGGACTTATGTATAACTGTTTATTACGATTGCCCAAGTTGTATTTCATTAGCCGAGAAAAAAACACTATCGTTCAATAGTAATTGCTGAGGTAGAAATCTTGAACTACTGAGAAATAATCAAGTATAACAAGAACAAGTTCCAATTAAATGTAAAAGAAAGCTCATACTAACATCAAACGATCTTACAAGTCATCCGAAATTTCAGCTTTAGGTGTTGTGAATCAAATAAACTTTGTTAATTAAGGATATTTTTACTGTTATGTTCAGTTGTATTTAAAAATTTCTTTGCGTGATCACTATGATGAATAGACAACCTTAAATGTTTTGTGTTTTCCGAAGTTGAATTACATCGATAAGATGTATAATATAAATAATATATTAAGGAAAAAGCCATTTTTAGTATAGAAATTAATGACTAAGAAGAAAGCGTAACTCAGATTATGAAATAATTAATTTCAGACACTGCTGATGTCAGGTTGACGGGAATAACTGATAAAAAACTTTTAAAAAAGAGAGAACCAGAATTTAAGGAAAAGATAGCATATTCTGATTCAAACGCAAACGATTACACTGGTATGAAACACCATTAAATATCAATGAGATTAATAACATGAAAAAAACATGTGATCTGGAGTGCGAATAAAACAGTGAAATAAATCAGTAATATTCATATCGAAAAATTACTATTAAAATGATATTGTTTATAATAGCAATATCCTATATAACGTTTAACCTCAAAGTAAATGTGTTTTTGTAATGAGGGACACTTCCATAAACCTGTATAACACTAATTAATGTTTGAGATCTATTGTTTGTTATTGAACTTTTCTACGAATGTTCATAATTTAAAGGAATATAACTACTGTACACTTGAACAAATGAAATCTAGGTGATAACGAAGTTTACAGCGCCGTCGATGGGCGTGATTAATGACATCGTGAAAAATGAAGGCGTCCAATTGTTTTATCAAAACACACTTTTTGACAAGATGGGTAACGAGGTGTTTTAATATTTACGTAACCATGTTACGTCTTAGAAAATACGGTTCTCCATTGTAATTGTTTGAGTTACCAAATTAGTTAGATACTCAGTTCTGTGAATTAAAAAAATTAGTCAGCTTCGTTGAGCAATTAATTAGTGAATATGCTTCACTTACGCGGATATCAGTGAATATCCAATTTTTCCGTAGAAGTCACACTATAAACTTATTGTAATAACAAATAGTCATTTAACCAATAGGTTACGCTATAGTCTGATACACGCAGCTAGGGAGAAGATATTCCATCACCATGCTTGTAGGAATTTTAATGAAGGCTCTTCTGAACACATGGTTGAATAGCAACGTCACATAGCATTGGAAAATAATCACAGAAGCTGTGAGATTTATGTAACATTTGTTAGTTATTTCTCCAGGAATCCATACTTAAAATGAACTTGAATGTAAATATGATATTATTTTTAAAGTGAAATCAGAGTAAATTTAAGTGACTGTGTTCAAAAATTAAATATTTTAGGCAGAATGCAACATTTAATATGATTTTCGAGTCAGTTTAAAATAAGTTATCATCAATCAGACGTTACGTTATGGGTGAAAGGTTTGATAAGAGGTATTTCTGTGAGAATGAATTAAAGTAAGAAACGAGTAGTTTCATGTTCTGGACAAATAAAGAAACTACATTTTAAAATTTTTTGAAAACGTGAATAAAACTGTGACCCAATGAATTTAATTTATCACTATAATAGTTGCATACATTCAACTTCCATCAAAAAGGTTTAGGAATTTTCAGCTCAACTGTTGTTGAGCTGAAGGTGATGGTTTAGTGGTTGAAGTATTCAACATCCAACTGTCTCAAATTTGCATCCTGCATTATCCAGTAAGTATCACCAAGTCAAATACACAAACATATTAATGAAATTTCACAAGTTGAAATCATGAGCCAATTGAAGCTAGACCACCATGGAAAACCTGGAAGCACTGGACGGCCGTTTCGTCCTAGTATGGGACTCCTCAGCAGTGCGCATCCACGAACCCGCCCCCCGCGGGATTCGAACCCAGGACCTACTGGCTTCGCGCGCGAGCACTTAACCATTAGACCACTGAGCTGGCATCCAACGGTGTTAATATCTAACTTCAACCAATCCACGAAGATTAAATACTTCTGTATTTGGTATATAAGCTAAATTCTCTCTTTCAGGAATATAGTTCTCAATAACTATTCAAAATGTGTTGATCTCCTTTAAAAAATTAAGAATAATCAATAAATAATTTAATTGATTATCAAACAGACTTTTATTTACCGGCACGTGATGGATTTGTAGCATGACTAGATGTTCGTCCTTGCTGTTTATATGTCGATTCACTAGATTTGTCAATTTGATCAGCACTCATTGAACCAACATTGCTTTCATGATTCGCTGATATACATGCTACATTAGTCCTAGTCATTGATGCATCATACACATGAGCATCATTTGGTTTTGACGCTGCAATACTAGATGGAATTGGAGTATTCAATGTGTGAGTAAAATCCTAGGATTGGAAAAATAACGGTTAGTTTTTCTATGAAAGTTAAGAGTGACTAAAACATTAATTATTATCTTCTTGGTGCAGTTAAGCTTGAAATATTCTATTTTCTAAGTGATTTTTGAGTCTGTCGAACAAAATATCTTGTACGCTATAAATGTATAACACTTTTTAGCACAATTCATTTTTGGATAAATCTATATGTCTGTAGACATGTTATGATTTACTAAGTTGCCGCACAGTTTGGTGACACGTAAGCGTTATCTTTAGGTTCATATATACTACTATAATGTTAAATAAATGAAAAATGCATCATCAATACAGTAAACTATTGAGTAGATCTTATTTTTATATTAGACTTAGATTAAATTCATACTGGAGATGTTCTAAGATAAGTGGAATTCACACACGTCTAAGTAACAATCCTGAACCTAGGCTTCGTATCGGTTAAAACTTGTCAACGCGGGATATTTCATTGCCACACAATTTCATAGTGAAGAATTACTATCACTGATTGGTTCGAGTCTCAGCTGATTGATCTCGTTGTTGTTGTAAGTGAAAATTAGTGATATAGAGAACACACGTTTCTAGGACATAGCAGAGATGAGCTACATGTAGAATCGCGGTCAAGCTAAATGACTATTGTTGACTATCATCAACCGCTTAACATCAAATAAAGTTAATGACGATAAATAATTATTAAGTTTAGTGTCTAAATTCCAACTTTATTGATGGAAATCAACTAACACTAATATTTAGACAAAAATGAGTTCAACTACTGGTTGCTAAGTGATCAACTAGTCGTTTACGTTAGTAGTTATTTATTACTCATGACAATCAGAATGATAATTCTAATTAGTGATTAGCTTGGGTAATGCATAATAAATATGATAAACAAACATATTTACTGCCCATAATTATCAGTGAAACAATCAGTCGAAATACTGACTGATTGGTAACTAATTTATATTTCCAAAATCTTTCGCTCACATTCTATTTCAGTATGAAATTTAGGGATGTTACTCTTTAACAGTTGCTACATATGAATATTATTAGATACTGTGAAATTCAAGCGAAGATACTGTGTCATTTTGGAATAAAAACTAAAGGCTTAAAATGCCATCAGATAATTGTTCTAAAAAAATACTCGACTCAAAACGTTACTGTCAAATAGGAGGAAATGAATTACTACCAACTAATTCTATGCGCTGGTCTAGATAAATGCCGAAATTTTCTTGACGTATCTACAATCATATCAAGGCGAATACTTTTTGTTATGATGATACGTTTATTGCAGCCACAATTCTCCTTCTAGACAAGCAAAAATCAAGGATTCTAGACTCCTTAATATAAAGTTTGGTTAGTCATCATTAGCTGGCGGTGTTTTTCTGTTTTCAGTAGTTGATTATCATATTTCCAACAGTGAATGAATTATTTTATTAAGCAGACATATCAGTTCTATGAAAATGAACAGTCACCTAATTTTATATAGAGTTTTGGATATCCAGCACAGAACAGAAATAAATCTACTATGGTGTAATGATACACCTTAGTGTCACGTTCTAGATCCAGATATTTTTGATAGACATAAGCAACTAGTTATTAGTAAAGCATAAAACTGATAGTAGAATAATTTCTATTTAAGCTTCATTTAACAAATTTAATTTCCTGTTTAAATATAAAACAAATAACTTTATTAATAAGAGTTGTCAAATTTTTTCAGGTAACTATGACAACGGTGCAGATAAACTATACTTATTTCCTCAGAATTTGTATAAACGAAAAACATTTTTATTTCTAAATAACTATTAAATTTGTTCTAAATTATATCTGTAAAATAATTTAAAAGTATTCAACAGATGAATTCTGTGGATTGTAATCAACTGTGTTTGAACCAACCAACTATTGGAAACACTGAACAAATCTTTGCAGTGAATAACTATTCATTGTTATGCAACCGATTAATAACTAAATGAAATTTTAAACAGTCGTTTTGTTTTATTTTACTATGAAAGGCTGATATCTATAAATATGCGGCTTATTAGAAAAGTAAAGAATTTTTCATTAATTACAGACCTCAGCTAGAAGTATATCGACTCTGTTTATTCAAACAAAGTTTAAGAGAATTCCTAATGTTCAAAGTAAATTAATTATAACTTGCATCAGATTAAACAGTTTATAACTGATAGTTCTTTACGCTATGTTTATGAAGTTTTAAGTTCATCAATACCATGGAAATAATCAACTGTAAATCTATCTCAGTCAGGCTAGATAAAAGTTATGGCCCTGTTATTTTAATAGTACTCTCTCAGACTTAGTGACAAGAAAAAAGATTCCCCATGAAACATCAGTTCACCGAAAATTACAGTTACACTTTAGTAACGAGTTCCAAATAGCACAAAACCTAGGTTTATAGTTTCCTGTCAACTACTGTCAACCACCTTACATCACATTTGTTTACTAATCTTAGACGGCTTGAGAAAGCAGATTGGAATCCTTGAACCAAGGTTTCAAGATACTTAGCGCTTATCACTAAGGTTCATCTAAATCTTTTTGGAATTTACGCTACTTGTACGAGTTGGTCGCTTGTGATTTCATGAAATTCATAAATAATATTCACCATTTTTGTTACCATTAAGACAACTACTTTATGTGTATTTCTTTGTCCATGTGAGTGTATTATAGAGCGTTTCACTTCTAATTAAGGGGAAAAAGCATCATTTCTGAACAGTACACTTGATATAAAAATCTATTTAGATGATTTATATAAATGTTATTTACATTGTGATATAACAAAAAATACATTTATTATCGAATTATATTTTATATAAGTAAACAAATATACATATGTAAATAGTGATTAAGCAAAGATCTTGAATAATTATCTTAGTGATTTACAGTTATTACAAAGTAACAGATATTCAATATTCAATAGTTTCTGGGTAACGTCAATTTGTCATGTAAAACTTTTTAAAATAAATATATCTTTATGAGAATACCAGATTCGATTTTACCAACTTTACATAAACGTTGACACAAAAATATTTATAGTTTGTAGGAATATTTCATCAGTTTATTCCCACCTTTGTGCTATAAATATTCTTCAGTTTTTGCGTCAGATCGAAAGAATGGAAGTTTTAAAGTATGACTTAGAATCAGTTGTTATAACGGGAGGAATATCGGAATTTTTAGAACTATTCTTGGTACTATTATTATATTTATATTTTATTGTATGCTTAATAGATAACTTCATCATCTCATTTCTAGATTTTCCTTATTGTGAGATTACAGTGAAACTGTCGATTGTTGTAATATATTTATTTTATACCTTAGTTATTGCTGATTAATTATGTACTCCTTGCTCAGGCCTCTACCACTTATGGAATGATTGTATTTAAAGTATGATTTCTCGATTGATGTGTTGTGTGGTCAATTATTTCAAGCAAATTATTGTGCGAGTTTTATGTGATTAATTAAATTGAGTACAACAGAGAACTAGTCTGCTTCCTGATTAGCTAATGGTTTAGAAGAAGATCAAGGACCAATAAGCGTTAAGGTCTCTGTTGTTATTCTTATGTTAGTGCGTCAATTGGTGAATAGAAATTCCCCGGCTATAAACTAACTGACAATCTGAATCCTGATTGACCAGTATAACACAATATATCGATTAAAACCTTGAGCTATAAAAAATCAGCGTCCACAAGACACAACAATGTCAATGATTTATGCTGACAAAGGATTAGTAAGTTTGGTCAAGAAGTCTAATAATATTACAAAAGCTTGTTATATACGCAATCGAATAATCTATGCCAAATATCCGATCCATTCAATATGAAACCAACACTTTTTGAATAATATCTCCATCTATACATATAAGACATAAAATCTTAAATTGTAAACACTGTCTAGAATGATTTGCAAGTTTGTATCTGTTAGTACGTTGAATTTCTATCTCTATGAAACCCAACAATTCGTTTTGTTCAACTGATGATGAAGCTTGATAAGTAAATTTTATCTTAACGTTTTTGAGGAAATTTAACATAAACTCTGAAGAACTGTCGTATTACAAAATTTATTAGCAAAGGAAATTAATGAAAACTTCCACAATTTGTAATGTTTCACGATTTTTATCTAATAGTTGTCACTACGTTTTGCTGTTCCAGAGATGAAAGCTTCCTGCTGGAACTTAAGAAACTTATTATTCCAAGCTATTTGCTAGTAAATGTGTCATTATCATCGTCCCAAACTTTATCTTTGAAAAACAGTAATTAGGCTCAGTAATTTGATCAACATAAATCAAGTACAAGTTAGTATAAGAAATGTAAGTTATCTATAAACTTTATTGGCTGAGGTGTCTAGGATATGTGTTAAGTATACCTAACCACCGCTTACCTTGGAAGGCTGTTTGCTGATGTAGAAATAGTTGAGAGGAAAGCTAGGAGCCACCAAACCGAAACATGCCATTAGTCAGTGAAATAATAGACTGTTGGTGAATTCAGGCTACCTGATTGCGATTTGTGCTATAACTACTATCAATGACGGAAGAACATGAGTCCCAATTTTCCTTCTTGCGTACTTTTTATTTCCTTATTTTGTAACTATACTCTCAATATTTAGTCTTTCCTATTGTCATTACCACTAAATTACCTCGATTCTTTTTCTATTTACCTTGTTTATTTCACATCGTGAGGATGTAGTATGGCAACTTGGTCTGACCCACATTAATGCCAGGTTATACAATGATCGAAACTGAACGACTGACTAACTGACTCCAAACCTGCTTATAATGATTGTGAAAACTTTCGTATCATAACAGCTAATACAGTCCATACATGACATACAAACTGTTTCATTAAGACCAGCTTTATTTTGTAACACAAAACAAAAAAAATTTATCATTGCTTTTATTACTTACAGGAACCGCATTCGTAGCGTTAGACAACTTTGTAGGCAGTCTTCGACCAGTTTGTCGTGGTCTATCACTTGTATACCCAACTAACCTTTGTACATTTGTATTATCCAAAGACTTTGTATCACCATCATCTTTGTTGAGTCAAGAAGTATATGAATTAATTTTAATTTTTATACTATTGACATAAAAATTCAATGAAATTCCTGATATGCACACTAGGAAAGTGTTTACAGATACATCAAAAAAGTTTATCTACATTTACATGTAAGGGCATCCGTGATTTATTTGACTTTGGGACTGAACAGTAATAATTCAGTTAGTAAGGATAACTCACTAATGGAATCTATTTTAAGTTTTACTTTGTTCAAGAATATTTTGAATAGATTAAGATTAAATTAATGCTACTTTGTTACCAAATACATGATTTTGTGAAGGGCGTTTAAACACAACTAGAAGATGGAGGCTACAAATATTGTTCATATTTCTTAAAATAGATGTGAAACTAGTTTCAAACTAGCGAAAATGTGATAAAGCACACTCTTTTTTCATCATAGTAGGATGCTGTAGTGTCGGTTGCTATGCCAACCCCACATAGCTTATTCTAGCTTTTAGACAGGCCAATTTATTCATTCTTCCTGGGTCACATTTTGACCTTGTCAATTATTCGCTTATCAACCTTGATTGTTTTTATATGAGAGTAAGCGTATGCACTTCTTAATCTATTCATCACATACATGTCTTTGATTTATTTCTGCCTGGCTATAAATATCAAGTAACACTTGACTAAACCGAGTTGGCTCACATGCTACAACCCGCCCTTTCGTTTCACTTCGCTCTCTTGTCTTCGCTTTGTTTGTCTGGATCAACGATTGTATGAAATACACGTATTCGAAATTCAGTTTCGTACTTAACTTGTTTCATTCCGTTAATCACTAACGCGATTTAAGTCGATAATTACATATGAGGATAGACGACATGTATATTTCAATAACAATCAATAACATTCATAGGATCAAATGGGAGTCGGATATCGAGCCACAAAAATGCTGAGTAACACTAAAAACGTCCAATTTGAAACTTGTAAACTGAATGTAGCTCGACTCTTTTGTTGGTGTTCTCACTGAAGGTCGAACACATTACCGATCTCTCCAAACACAAACGCGTTATGTATTGAGTTAAGGGGTTCAGATAAGCACCAGGTTGTGCAATGGGTATGGAATTTCATCTATAAGTGTTTGTATTTCCCAGACGCTGACCTTAACGACTGAGACTGGTCACTTTCTACTGATATGTATGTATCATTAGAGGATTGTCTCCATATTGCCATAAAGTCAAAAGTTTGTGTAACAGTTTACGAGTAGTAAACAGTGGAATTTAGGACGCAGGTTTCATCCTGTTATAGACTTGTCAGTCACACGTCTAACTTGTAAGTCAAATAATTTAGATATTTTCATACTGAAAACTTAATGCAAACAATGAAACCAATATATGCAAAGATGAAAACAAAGGTCTTAGTATCCGAAACAATAAAATTATAGTCACTTCAGTAAAATGAATACAAATTTACCTTGTAAACTCATTTGTTTTAATATCATGACCCATTATCTTCAAATAGAACTCGGCCCGGATAGCTCAGTGGTAACGTCTCCGACTGTGAAGCTGAGTGACACGGGATCGAATTCGTGAGGTGTGCCCGCCCTCTCGAACTGATTTCACAAGGCCACGTGTATACAGCCTCTGCCAAAGAAGTCCTACTCACTGCCATCTCGTGGCTGGGGTGTTGTTGACAAAAATGAGAGGATGAAAAGCGAATGTCCGGCGCTTTAACCGGATCCCAAACCAATGGTGCACAGGGGCTCCAGTATCCTGCGGGAACAAATGGCGTATGAACTAATCGTAGGTCACTGGCTACCATGAGACAGCATCTCCTCACGATGCTGCACTGCCTTGTGGGTTAGACCTTTAGGTAAAAGGCTTGGGGTGTGGCCCCCTAAGAAAACCACCTGCTTCGGTCTGGGCACTCGGGCAGTATCACAGCCCACACACAAATATAATGAAATGTCGATATTTATGGAAAATACTTGTCTTGCTTAATAATCAAACGATTCACATTATTATTATTATTACTAATATTATTGTTATTATTATTTTTTACGTCATTTATTCACTCTCTTTTATTCCCACTTTATGTATCCTTATTTTTCGACTTATACAGCAGCTCACCTATGGTGGAAACTCGGTTCTATCTAAACGTTCTCGAGTCACTGTCTGATTGGAAATAGTACGCTACCACCAATTACGAATACTGAAGCAGTTTTTCTGAAACCACGTGCAACATTCAAACTGGCTGCCTTCAGCGTTCGCACGCTTATGCAGGTCGGACAACAGATAGGGCTGGCTAAGTCTTTGGAAAGTCTTAATATCGACGTTTGATGTCTATCGGAGACCCGTATTCAAGACTGGTGAAGTACTACAGATTCGCTCTCCATCTGTTGCTTCAAAAAGCTTGTTTTAGGTGCGTATATCCGGGGACCCTGTGGCATCTTCGTCTGGCCTTGCTGGCGTTGGTGTTACACTAAGCGCTAGAGCTGAGGCAGCACTAATCGATTGGATCTCCATTAACAGTCGGTTATATGCTGTTAGAGCAGAGAGTTCCATCAAATTGAGAAGAAATCGGAGTGAGAAACGATGTCTTTTCGTCATCTCCGCCTATGCCCCAACAGATTGCAGCCCGGATGCAGTCGAGGATGAGTTTTACCACCAGTTATCTGTCCTTCTCCAGAAAGTGCGTTCAATAGATATTGTAGTACTAGCCGGAGACTTGAATGCTCAGGTCGGGCGTCTAGGCACAGAAGAGAGTCGTTTAGGTGGCCGATGGGGACTCGTTGGTCGCAGGTCAGATAACGGGGACCGTCTACTGCCACTGTGCACAGACCACAACCTTTTTCTGGCTAGCACTAACTTCCGGCACAGTCATCGCCGATGTGCCACCTGGCGTCCTCCCTCTGCGTCCCAAGCCTGGACTCATATTGATCACATCGCGATCAGCTACCGCTGGTGTGGTTGTGTACTAGATGCCGCTCCTTTTGGAGTACCTATCTGGACTCTGACCATGCCTTGGTCTGCGCCAATCTTACCTTACTTTTCAGTGGACAACGAAGTGACCGCCACCAACGGATTGATGTTAGCAAGCTGGTTGCAACTTCTGTTGCTAGTAAGTATCGAACCGAGCTAGTTTCTAGGCTAGCTATCATTCCACCGAAAAGTATAGATGAGCATTAGTTGCAATTGCATGACGCCATGAAAATGGCGGGTACAGTCAGTTGTGGGTTCGCGAAACGTCCCGCTTATAAGCACTGGGTTTCTTCAGGTTCCTTACAACTCAGTGAAGCCCGTCGGTCTACTCCGGGTGACCGTGAGTTTGAACATAAACGAAGGATGTTACGTAAGGAAATTGGGCAAAGCTTGCGTAAGGATCGAGAAGCCTGGTGGTCGGAGCGTGCTAATGAGCTGAAAGCAGCAGCTGCATCTGGTAACTACCGGCAGCTCTTCCAACTCATCCGAGTCACTGGCAGCAAGAAGTCCGGTGTGAGTGAAACAATCTGCGAGGATGATGGGATGCCAATCACTAACATCCATCGACGTCTTGGACGATGGGCAGAATTTTTCGAAGGGCAGTTCAACTGGCCTGCTGCTCCGGCAACATCGGTCAGACTGTCCTGCCCTCCATGGCCGGTGACGACTGATCCACCAAACGAGGAGGAAGTCCGCAAGGAACTCCAACTCTTGAAGCGTTACAAATCACCTGGCCCAGATGACTTACCTCCGGCTCTTTTTAAAGATCGTCGTGACTTTCTGACTAAGGAATGGACGACGTTGTTTACAAAGGTCTGGGAACTAGAGAGTGTACCAACGTCATGGAATGAGTCGATAGTTGTCCCTATCTTTAAAAAGGGTTCACGTCGTTCCTATAACAACTATCGGGGGATAAGTCTACTTCCGATTGCGTCCAAGCTATTGGCTTCCGTCATACTTCGTAGGTTGTTCAAAACCCGAGAAAGATTGACTCGCGAGGAGCAGGCTGGGCTTCGTTCTGGTCGAGGATGTATTGATCATATCTTCACCCTCCGCCAAATGTTAGAACACCGCTATACTTATCAAAGGCCAACAATTGTAGTGTTGCTTGACATCAGGGCTGCCTTCGATTCGTTGGATAGGACTGTTCTCTGGGATTGTCTATTGAAGAAGGGTGTGCCTGAGAAGTTTATTAACATCCTAAAAGCCCTATATACAAATACCTCAGGCAGAGTGAGGGCATACAACCACCTCTCTCCATTGTTCCATTCGAGCAGTGGGGTTAGGCAGGGTTGCCCAATCTCACCATTCCTCTTCAACTTTGCCATCGATGACATTCTGGAAACAGCTCTGATAAATGTAAGTAATGGTGGTGTGGATCTGTTGCCTGGAGAAAGACTCCTCGACCTTGAGTATGCGGACGATATTGTCTTACTGTGCGATAATGCCCAAGGCATGCAATCCGCACTTAATCAGTTGGCAATCAGTATCCATAGGTATGGTATGTGCTTTGCACCTTCGAAGTGCAAAGTACTTCTACAAGACTGGCAGGATTTCAATCCTGTACTCACCCTGGATGGTGAGCAGATAGAAGTAGTCGAGAAGTTCGTGTATCTAGGTAGCTGCATAAGTGCTGGTGGTGGCGTAAGTGATGAGATCAATGCACGTATAGTGAAAGCCAGAGACGCTTATGCCAATCCGGGCCATTTTTCGAGCCTTCGTGATGTTAGTCTGGCTGTAAACGGTCGGATCTACAACGCGTCGGTGAGAGCAGTTTTGCTCTATGCTTGTGAAACCTGGTCTCTCCGAGTTGAGGACGTTAGACGAGAGGTGGTCAGTGCATGACATGGTGTTGTGGTATGAAAGAAAGCTGCAAAGGGCTGGCTTCTGTTGGTCCTTCACGACTCCCTGGTTGAGGTCCGAGAGATGATGCTACACAGTGGCTAGAGACGTTATGAGATATGGTTCAGAATAGAAGCCAGTGGCGATCCTGCTGTAACCTTCTTTTACTTTCTTCATAAAAAGTGGTTGTTTCTTCCTTAACTGGAAGATTTCTTCCGGTTTCACCTTTCCTTTTCTCTCATGATTACTATTATTATTATTTTGATTACTATTACACTACCTTACACTAATCTGTTCGTTATTGTTACGCTCATTAACTTCTTTTTCTCTCTTCGAATTCTCATTGTTTTGTGTGGCGCATATATATTTGGTGCCCCTCTTGTACTAATATTTGTGTGTTCAAATAAATAAATAAATAAATAAATAAATAAATAAATAAATAAATCACTTTATCAATCAAACTGGCTAATCAGATAATTCAGTGGATGACAAGTTTCATTCCTTCTTGTTAGGTATGTTATTCTATATTATTCATGTTATTCTTTAAACAGCTTATCTATTTTACGGGTGTAGTTTTAAAATGATTTTTCTGATTGATACTAATTTTTAAATGTAGCTGAATGGTAGCCTCTAATCTATAGTACATGTTGAGATTGTACTGTGATACGCTTATTTGAAGAACCCAATTTTTCATTACGTGTACATTCAACAAATTTATGGCATACCCTGATTCGATGTTTTTAACGTCTTTTTGTTTACATCATTTTGTTTTGTACAATTAAAGTGTTGTGTTTCAAATAAATTACATCCTTTTATTTTGATATTTTAGGGTTAGATTAGAATTTTCAAAATGTCTTCTTTAATGTTAAAATTTGGGCATCACATTTTACCGTGTTTATTGAGTGATAAAAAAGTATATTCCTTTAACTAAATAGACAATTATGAATTTCATATTATACTTACCTCCATTGTGAACTTTTGATAATTCGTAAGAATTGTGTTTGCCAGTTGATCTCCATTTACCATTGATTGCTGAACTACTTTCTCCTTGAATTAGACCAGAACTTGTTGTAACGGAAGTTGGTTGATTAATATTTAATGAATTGCCCATAGAATTTGATCTTACCACTGAAGATAATGATCCCACGGTAGATACAGTATTTGTAAAATTATTTGGTGGATAATTTATCATACCAGAACTTGAAACAATAGCTGCTCTCGTAGAGGAATTATGTGATGTTGGTTTATTATTGGTTATTCGATTCGTATCGAATGCAGTTGGATTATTTGAGTTTGGTGGAAGTGTAGAATTAGTATTTTTAGGACATCTGTTTGTAGTATTATCGTTACCATTTTGTAGTGTTATTGTTTTGACAGATACACTTTTATTTGGTACATTAGATGGATTTCTAGAATACTAAAGTGTTGTAGTACAAATAAAATCATAACATAATATTTGCACGATAAATTACTAAAGTTGAAAATAATTTACACGAAAAGATTGAATTTTTTCGAATAACTGGTGAAAATCAGAGTAAGCTAAATAAATGTTTTATTTGACTATTGAACTACTCATCATCGTGCACTCGCAGCTCTACAAGCGTTCGAGTTCACGATCTGCAGATCATTCAGAAGGAGCCTTATTTTCAGGTCACTGGGTTGATATCCAAAAGTTTAAATTATCAGCTTCAGTCAATAGAGGGTAATTCGCGATCATCATCCATTGCTGTTGATGATACTCGTTTCATTCCAAAAACGGTCAACCTCTAATTACAACTTTAGAAATTTTTCTAAAGATAGTCACTAGTTAACACCAGATAATTACCAAAGAAGTAGGATGTGCACGTGTAATGCTCAGTCTGAGCATAATTTTCATCAGATACCCAAAAAAAGCGTAAAAGTATTGGATTTGATTCTCGATGTTATCGGGGGTTAGTCCTACTGTGAACTCCCTCTCTCGAAAGCAAAATATCTCTCCAGTGCTCTATGACTTTCAGTGGTTGTTTAACCCAAATCAGTCTATGAATTAAGCAAAACATAAGTTAACACTTCTTAATTAATAATACTTTAGGCAAGTGGAAATTGAGAATTTATTTACAGCAATTCATTGGGAACTTCAACATTTATAAAATAGAAATAATCATCGCTAGAAAACATAAAATATGTAGCTAGGTCGTTGACTTTGTACTTATGTTTCCAAGTTTTATTTCTCTATCTGTTAGAATAGTTGAAAGTAGATATTTCCAAGGAGTTACATTTATTAATTAAAAACAGAATAAATGTCTTTTTATAGGCTTATATAAGATAATCAAATGAACACTTGATGTAATTATAAAATATACCCACTGATTCTTTTTACATGAACAAATCAATACCCCAAGTTTTATACTAACTTAGTAAACGATTAATCACAGATTAGTAAGAATTCCATAAACACCAAACGAATATATATCAGTTATATCTTAAATTATTATTGTAATTCAATACAATAGTATCATTTAACTGGTTCATATGAAATATAATTCCTATTAAGATGTGAATACTTTAAAGTTCCACAAGACTATTCATAGTTGTATAGTTAAACTTTATTTTCAAAAATAGAGTATGTACAATTTGAATTGATATCTATAAAAAACATTTTAAAATATAACTGACATATTTTTAAATTTTTTTTCAAGATCGGCAATTTTGATATATTGATTTTCAAAAATGGTGATGTAACGAATTTATTTGATCAATATTCAAAGTTGCATCGTTTACAATCTGAATTACAAGAAGCATTAGTACTCATTTATTTGTTCTCTTTACTTTGATCTATCACAAAGAAAAACAGGTTCTTTGTTTTAAATAAAAATAATATATTTGTAATATCCCAATGAGTAGAAAATTGGATTTTCTGACGTTTCGTGGCTTAGTGTAAGTCACTTCTTCAGAGAATAAATAACCAAAATTAAATTAATCCAAGTTTAAATAGTACAACGGAACAATGCAAGAATAATATTTGATCAATCAAAAAACAGGTCTGAACAAGTTGATGTCATGTCATTTCTGTCAAGGTGATTCATAAGTGATATGTATGTAAATTTGTGTGTGTATGTATGTGTGCATTGTTTAAGAATGAAAACTTGTGTGACCTTTATGGTAAGAAAGGATAGAGTTTAAATTTGTAATATGATAGTGTGAAATTGTAAAGAAGATCAGACTGAATGGCTAGGATAGATGGCATGACATCAACTTGTTCAGACCTGTTTTTTGATTGATCAAACATTATTCTTGCATTGTTCCGTTGTACTATTTAAACTTGGATTAATTTTAATTTGGTTATTTATTCTCTGAAGAAGTGACTTACACCAAGTCACGAAACGTCAAAAAATCCAATTTTCTACTCATTGGGATATTACAAATATATTATTTTTATTTATAACAATCAACCCAATGCTCAATTTATTCGAAATGATCATAGGGTCTTTGTTTGTTTTTTTTGTTTTAAAAAAATAATAAATAATTGTATCGAAATTTTTCGTTTGCCGATAAGTAATTCCAAGCAGTACTATGTGTAACTAAATTAATTCGTTGTTAATAGGAAGCGATGATCATTATCTAATTGTTTAAATTAACAAAATGTTTTCCAATTGTATATAATGGTAAAATAAAGGTCATTTGTACTGGTTTAATTGTAATTGAATTGAAAGAAATCAGATACATTCCCTGTTTACAAAAACGTTAAATTGGATTAATTGCATTCAGAGTAATGGTAGATTGTAAAACAGAATAGGAATAATGTTAGGTGATAATTTCAACAGAATATTCCAAGCGAAATGAAAATATAAAGAATACTTTCTGGCGTTTATTTGGTTGTTTAAATGAAAAGTATGGATAATAATTGAAAGAAAGATTGATCTAAAAAGAAAGTTAGAATTTGTTCATTGGAAATTTTCTCAATTTCTAGTATTCTGAATCATTAGCATATCACTATTAAATAAGCATTAAAATAATTTAACTCAGAATTCATTATCAGTGTAAGGGATTTGTGGAAATCGTTGGATGATACAGAGATTAAGAACCGATCAAAATTAGATAACCATTAAAAACCAGAAGGTGATGAACAACTGTTTCATCCTAGTACATAGCTCTTTAATGTTGAGGAATTATGGATGTGCATTTCTGAGCAGTTTCATTCTTGGAAGAATCAGTCAACCAAAACAACGTGGAAACTGGCACAAATATACTTCAGCTCAAATTATTAAATCATAATACCACATCAAAATTATGTTAGGAAGATGAGTTGCAAAAAAAGGGTCATAGTGTTTATAATTGTAAAAGAAGAAATAAAAAGGAGAATGTCTGTGCCATTACAACAAAGTTTGAGCTAAAATACTCAACGTTTTCAGTCACTGATCATATGTATCTCACCATGAAGTCTAAATCTCCCTTTACAGTTCACTTCCATGTTCAACGACATCGTGAACTGATATTATGTAGAACATTCAGCAAACATATACTCTTATGTAACATAATGAATCGGATATCTTTATAGTAAGTTTAAGTCCAGTCATCTTTGTTTTTATTTATGTCTTTAGAGTAACTAATAATAATGTACCCTGAAGTAAAAGTTGAACTTTTAAAAATCAATTTTAATAGTGACTAACAAACCAACAGTGATAAACAGAATACTCAAATTTGTCGCAACGATCAATGTTTACTTTCTGTCGTCTGAAAATGGAATTTTACACCTCCTGTTATATACATTTTATTATTACTACTACTAATACTATTGTTTACATTTATGAAATGCATTTGAAAAAAACACGGACCATTCAAATACACATTAATTTCCTTGAAACTAAAAGCCTGCACACACACAAACACTTGTAAATGTAGATAAACAAGAAGTGGGATACGCCCAATGGTTTCTTTATCACTATTTTTCACATAATTATTTTAAATATTACATTCTGTTGGAAAAAAGTTACCAATAACGGACAAGTGTAAACGCCTTCTTTAACATGGATTGTAAGGAAGTTTTCTACATAACATTGTAAGGACTTCAAAGTTTTTCTATGTTTTCTATCCATTTATCATTGTTTACATGGCTTCTTTCAATCCAGTTCTCTTTCTCTCTTTCCCTCTCTCTTTGTATATATGAACATTTAAGAGCTAAATATTCTTTTTTTCATGTTAAGTCGACGTTTACAGGGTTAAACAAGGTATTATTCTTACTTCGTTAAAAAGCATTTAAAAAAATATTGCTTAATCATAAATATATCTTTTTCTTATATTCCAATAAGTAGAAAAATTGTATTTCTGACATTTTGTGACTTAAGGTAAGCCGCTTCAGAGCAAAGATTTATTTACTATAACGAAGTTGCTTACATTAAGTCACGAAATATCAGAAATACAATTTTTCTACTTATTGGGATGTAACAAGAAATATATTTGTTATTAACTTTTTACCAATGCTCAATTTATTTGAAACTATCAGGTCCAACTATGACATTCATACTTACCAACGTACTGCTTAGTTTTATTAGTGTTTAAATGGAAAATAACGATTAGATATTTTCTCCTGTAAACACGAATTGCATGATAATAGTAAAGTATAATGTTTGAACCAACCTATACCCTACATAAATAACCTTTTCATATTGTGCTACATTCATATACAAGTACATTTGTTGATTATATATACATGTTTTACAGTGTATTACTGATTTGAAATTACAGGGTTTATGCATTCTCGTTAGTGAAATGCATCTATATATATCTTCAGCGTATTTAAACTCATTTTCAGAAGGGGTTTTGTGAAGATTTTAGAAATTTCACTGACTGAAATCATGAGTCAATTGAAGCTAGACAACCATGGAAAACCTGGAAGCCCTGGACGGTGAGGAATCAACTCACTGAAGACAATGGTATACTGTGGCGCAACTTCGTGGGTTGGTTGAAGTTAGACGTTAACACCACTGGATGCCGGCTAAGTGGTCTAGTTGGTTAAGCGCCTGGAGCAAGACTGGTAGGTCCTGGCTCGAATCTTGTGGGGTGCGGGATCGTGGATGTGCACTGCTGAGGAGTCCCATACCAGGACGAAATGGCCGTCCAGTGCTCATTTTATTAGCTTAAAAAATCGCAAAGTTAGATTGTTACGTATTTTGAAATGATGATTAAGATTGTTTAGTCACTAACTGTAACATAATTTTTGATCATATCAACCACTAAACTAATCAGAGAAATAAGAAAACAGAACTGTACAGATACATAGCTATCAATGAGAAGCGTAGGCTTGATAGATTTAAATAAATTGAGCATTGGGTAGAAAGTTAATAAATATTTCTTTTCTAATTCAGTAATTTATTTAATCTGTAGAAGTGGTTTACATTAAATAGCGAAATGTCAGAAATACAATTTTATACTCATTGGGATATAATAAAAAATATATTTACAGATGCATATTCTACTGGTTTGGAAAAAAACAAAGTAATCTTGCAAATGCTGCAATGCATGAAACATTGTAAAACTTAGAATATATCAAGCAATGAACTACATTCGGCCACAATTGTATCCTATATGTAATTACAAATTTAAAGTGTTTAGGTTATAAATATTTTAACATTAAGATATTTCTTAATTTCATGCTATAATCTCGAATGAATTTCAAAAATGTCATTACGGTTATACTGTTAGTGAAATAGATCATACAAATGTCAAGAGTGGATCAAGAAGTTTTTTCATTGTTCTTTCTTTATAATCACTTATCACTGGGATCAGGTCTGTTAGTTCAGGAACCAAGATGCACAATGTAATGCCTAAATACTTTTAGATGAGATATTTTTGAGGTCTATGAAAAAGAAGCGCAATGAATATTAAGCATAAAAACATATCCTTTCAGTTGAAAGTCAAACATTTACCAACTAGATGAATAAAGTTTACCGAAAATAAAAATGATCAGAAGTAGATAAAACTGATTGGAGAAAGGTTTCAACTGGCAAAACACTACCCTAGAAAATAAAGTAAAAAGATTAGACAACTCATACATTTTTCCATTTTCTTTGACTTAATTGATAATCTATGTAAGTTAGTTAGAATTGCATCGTGATACACATTTTCATTTGTTTGTATTTGTTTTGTAGAACTAAATGTTTGATATCTCCGTCAATTTTATCTTTTACCCTTGGCCGTACCAGGGTATTTGGAGGCCATTTTCGATGGTAAATTAGTCATTTATTTCTGCTGTTTTCTGAATGGCTAAAACTTATCGAGATCTTAATGTTGTTCTCCACTATTCATCAGGCTAAATATGAATCTTTAAATTAGGAAAAAACATCTACATAAATTTCTTGTCTGTTTTAAATTATTTACGGCATTGTTTGACAAAGTTTTGGTAACTAAAATTAACAATAAGCTCACAAACAGTCAATTTTTGTTGTTTACAAGGAAAAAACAACACAGTAGTCTTAGTGAAGCCCATTCTTTCTGTAAATATGAAACTTGTGTTGTTAAGGCAAGTAATCAATATGAATTACTTTTCAGAACTAGTAAGACTACATAGAACAATAAGAACCTCTCATTACAGTTAATTTAAAAATGACTTCATACATACCTGTAATTTACTTTCATCCAATTCTTTATTTGTTCCATTAATAGGTGAAACGAAATTGTCCGGAAATATACCAATTAAATTTGTACGCATATTTCTACCTCTCCACCAACCATCATCAGGTAGATTACGATCTAATACTTGAATAATATCATCTACGTGTAATTCTAACTCATCTGCCTGTTTCGGCATATATTCATAACGTGCTCGAACTTGGTTTGTTAGATAATTCGATGAAGTATCATCAAGAACTATGAGGCGAAAATGAAAATGAATGGAGAGAGTTCGTTATCATTTACCCTTTTGAGAAAAAGAAGACATTAAGAAATAATACATTGAATTCTAGGTGAATATAGTTAATTTGTGAAACCTATATTTAACTATAATAAAAACTATCCAAAACAAGAGTGTACAACAACTTGATATTGAACAGAAATAGTATCACTAAACTGTTATTTCTTGATAAAATTTTAAAATCAATACTAGCGTTGGATGTGAATGATTTACATTCCTTGAGATATATACGTAAATAGTACTTCGGGTTGGTTAGAGTTTCCAGAACCATCTTATGTATTCACCAAACATGTAACCATAGACCTAAGGAATTCGCTTTTCATGTTTTATTGAAACTAACGGAATACATCAAAGAAAACGTTAAAACTTATTTTATTTGCCAAGATTTACCGCTATATCTTCACGTAATCGGGAAACAGAAATTCCTTAATAATGAACTAATATAATTTTCTTTTGATCATTGGTTCCGCAATTTTTCTCAAGGATTCTCTCGAAGTTTGTATATTTACGTAAATAGTGGTAATTTAACATTAGTACTGCATGTTTACAACTTATATTAAGTATATTTATTAAAATTGTATAAAATGATATAATAATGAAATATTTTTTGACGATTCTGTGTTCAAGTGCTAGAAGACTGATTTTATTCGCTCTATAAAATATTACATCTTATTTATCTTAATTTTTTCGAAGCGCAGAAAGGATTGTAAAGTGTTAGTTTTTTTCGATTTTTAATAAAAAGCTAAGTGTCACTTTTATTGATCACAAATGTTTTGTTTAGCAGTATTTAAGGGTGCATCCTGTACCCTACGAATGTAACTGTAATCAATACTAATTGAATTGACGGAGGAAAGAATATTAATTTAAACTACTTAAAATTATTTCGTAGTAAGAATAAACGGACATTCGTCAGTACTGAAATATTAGATCATATTACTAAACATTATTCTATAACTTAGTTTACTGATTTCAGCACAAGCTCACGTCATCTTAATAACTAGATTTTGTCAATATAGATGTATTTATTATGTACTTATACAAGTAGCCAAAAAGTGATGTCTTGCTGGGTTATGATTTATTGTCAAGAGATCTGAAACCATTTCGACATAATTTATACCTTATAAAACAAATCTACAGTAATAGAGAAACGGGGTGTTCTGCTTTATGTTTATTCTGTTTCGTGAAAAGTAATAATATCTAAACTAGTATTAGGTATTTAATTCTAGGTTGTTCGATCATTAAAAGAGGGCAGTTTACAAGTCCACAACGCATATTATCACATTTTAAGCCAAACATGCATTAAATACAGTCATTTAAACGTACTTTTACTGTTTCCGATATCCCTTTCAAGTACTGATTCATTCTATAAATGAATAAACAGTAATTATGAAGAAAATTCAAGTATGTTAAACGAGAACTAGTTGGTATTTATTAAAAGTATCATTTTAAAATATCATTCAATATATATATAATGTTTCAGATAATGCTTAACGAAGACACATGTTTTAGTCCTACATGAAACACACTAGTCAAGTGTACAAACATCTCAATGTTGAAGTTCATATTGAAATTTCAGCCTAGTATTCATCACGAGTTCTGTTTGACGTAGTAATCACTTAAAAAATTTATATCATACAAACTGATATCCGAATAAAACATGGTTATTTGTCACAGAGCTATCCTAACTTACTTTAATAGTTTTTACAAATTCGAATAGAGAACACCGAATTTATGATGGATAATAAATAATTATTAGGTGAGCAACTGATTTAATTAATTAACAGGTAAATTGACACTATAATTGTATCCCAACTCATAATTCTGAAATAAACCTTAACCTGGTGTTAATACATTTTGTGGACGAACTAATCGGACAGCATCCTCTGGATTTTTGAGCGACATTTACTCATTCATATTGGCTAAAGAGCATTTTTACAATATAGCTGTAGTCAGTTTTTCTTATGACAACTCTAACCCGCAACTTTTAATCCTAATCTTAACTGGGGACAGTGTAAGGTTGCTTAAAAGTCCGCTTGGGTCCTTGTAAGCGTTTCAAGAACATGGACAATCTGTATCCATAAAGATATATTTCTAGGTCGTTGTTTCGCCGTTTTACAGGAAGCATAACTTGTAGATGACTTTAATAGATTTATTGATTATGCCAAATCGAATCATTCTTTTTAATACTATTATTTTCTTTTTCTATAAATTATCCATTTATAAAAGCTGTTTTCTAGTTGGATGGGACCTGGCTATTAATTTTTCTCAGCTCTTTTAAGGTTATCCTTAAATAAGAGTGTACTTTAATCTGAAAGTCAATTCACAACAATATAAAAAATATATAGATATATTATTTTTACAGTTGGTTTTTACTTTTAATTTAGAAGGAGCAGGTAATCTATACACATAAATACGTGCGTACATATAACTGTGATATACCTACTATTTACACAAATAAACTACAAATAAGTTAACGCTGGTGTATTTCAAACATTTCAGAATAAAATAATCGACAAATTTTAATTAACCTGATATTGTTTAATTCATGGACAAGCAATAGTAGTTTTTGGTATTAAAGAGTTAATTAGTTGAATGATTATTTACATGAATCATGGCTTGGAAAGCATGAAAATGTTTACACATTATGATCAACCAGTTAACATTTCTGTACATTATATGTAAACCGCACCACAGAATAAATATTTTTTTAAATTGACCCATTACAGTAGTTCTCTGATGTGACTAAAAAATTAATTTAAATAGTGTTTTTAAATGAACACTAGATAATTTACTCAGTCAGTTAGATTACATCTAGTGAAGAGATTAGTAATTAAAAAACACTGATAGTCAGGATCTAGAATAACATAGAGAATGAATCCAGCTTTACTACACTGACTAACTATGAACACTGATGTTAAATATACCCAACTTTAGAAAAATATAATCATATGATTCCTTTACCTTTTTTTCACCCTCAGATTTATAGTTTTTATACAAAGTAGTGAAAATTCTACAAAAAACATTTAAGTAAATGGTGACAATATTTTTAATTTTAAGACCTTACCTCAAGAAGTATACTAAATGAAATATTTCATTATTTTTTTAACACGAATAGACAACATTTGCATAAGTTATGTAAGTACACGAGATTTTTCTATGCATTGAATGTATATATTTTGTCCATCGCAAATATGATATGTTGAATACGAAACTCTACCATTATTCTTCTAGGCAGATTAGTATTCTGTTCAGACTTTTAGATACCTATATTTCAACCAGTAAAATATTGCTATGAATTATCTTATTTTAGATTGGTTTTATTTAAGTAACTACGTATATCAACGGCGTAACGTACTCACACGTGTTCTAGAAAGCATACAGACTATTTACAAGCTAAATACTACGAAACTTAGAAGCGGGTAAACTGAAGCGGTCGGCTCGTGTTTTGGTTTAAGTGTGATTACAATGCAAGATGTAATCGTGTAATAATCCATGCTTGTAAAAATATGTATGCTTTACAGTGTATTATTGACATGAAGGTGGGACTAACTGAAAACATTTGCCGAAAAAAGATAAATGTAAGTTAATCACAATTGTTAAAACTCTTCATAAGCAAATTATTTTTGTGGTACGTATTGCTTATTGTCATTGGACTGAATAAACCAGTTCCTGTTCATATATCTTATCATTTTAAAAGGAATAACGTACATAATTTAATTGACTCACAGCATAAACATACACGTTTTGTAAAACAATATGGTAACAGAATTAAGAAGTGAGATAACTAAACCGCGGACGTAAAATCAGTAAATGAATCCAGTTGTGACACTGAACAATCAATTTAGACCACACCTATATTTTCGCTAACTATATGATATACTATACAACATATCAGTATTAGTATGATATTTGTACGTTATATACTCTGATTCATATGATCACAATTGAAAATGTAGATGTTTGTCACTAGTTCTTGTTTGAATGTTTATTTTTAGTATGAAACCTAAAAAGCAATCAATCATACTTTTAATTGTATCAATGTGAATAAGATACAAATTAAAAAATGCCGGTTTTAAATTTTTTAGTGGAAAATGATTATTGATACTGTAGAACCCGTATTAATCTTCATGCTAAATTAATTAAACTTATTCATGATAACGGTTTTAAGTGTTTACCGATAATTAATAACTTGTTTGAATTTGCATAGAAGCAAGGCATGGTCTTCATTTTAATAATCTATACTTAGATAAAATTTCTTCAGAATGGATTTCTGACTAACAAAAGGATTCTCAACAATCAATTATAATGGGATCTTTGAAGAGATTATATAAGGCATAGTTATTACATCCTGTTAAACTTCAATCAGCTTGAAAAATACCCTTTAAGAATCACATTTCCATTTTCGGCTAAATAAAGAAAATTATTGTTTGTGGCTAACAACTATCAGTTAGTCATAATCAACATTATAACCTGGCGTAATTATACACCTGCCCAAGTTTCCACATGGCATCAGAACAGTGAGATTAAATTAATAAGATGAATAGAAAATGAGTCGACTGACATAAATAAAGATAGGAAAGTTCATATCAACATCTGTGATAATTATTCAAATTAATACACAAAATTAATACAGCTAACAGATTACAATGAATGATGGCCGATTGAAGTCAAGAAATGCAAACTACTAAATTTCACCCAGTATTTGATCTCAAAATTTGGGAATTTGTACTTTTGGGTCTACTTTCTTACAGCTGAATACTGGGCTGGAACTATTTAGTACACAGAGATTTGCATATGATTTAATTATAGGATATTTTATCGTGAACAATTTAATAACAAATGGTAAACTATTACTATTTATCAACTAAAACGTTTTGGCACAAAAAAACAACCTTCAGATAGTACTTATTCCTTATTGGAAATGATAGCTAAGAATAAACCTGAAATACGGTTTGACTACCGTGTACTTAAAGCGATAAGAATCTTTTTTTATATAAAAAAAACTACAGTTGAATGAATAAGTCAATGGATAGAACTGAATGGAGAAAAATGTTATTGAGTGAATTTTAAAAATAAATTTTGACGTGAGAATGTTGATGACTAGTTATCTTTTTATTTTGAATTAGATTTCTTAGCAAAAATTGTCAGCTCGCTCGCGAGACTGATAGGTCCTGGATTCGGATCTCACTGGGGGCGGGATCGTAGATGCGCACTGCTGAGGAGTCCCATACTAGGACAAAATGGCCGTACAGTGCTTCTAGGTTTTCCACGGTGGTCTAGCTTCAATTGACTTATGATTTCAACTTGTGAAATAAGTTAAGTGTTTATGTACAATCAGTTCTAGCCCGAATCAGAAATTTACATAATATTCCAATTTATTTTATTGAATATTTAGTCGTTTGGTGAAGTTTAATCGTTAAACTGTAAGAAGTGAATAAAATATTGGTCATATTCATTGAATTTCTCAATTATCTTTTTGGCCAGAATGTACGAGGGAAACTGAGTTAAGATGAACTCAAAGTACTCATTGATGATAAAGTCTGTCTGTTATTAAAACTAGAAATTAGGTATCAAGATAAATTGTTTATACATGTATAGATATATTGACTTTTTCAGTATGACATACAAAACTCGTGAATCGTTGGTGGATAATAAAAAACAGAACCCAAAATGGAATGTTAACAATTTAATCGACTTGATGATAAAAAGCAAAGACTGAGTTAGCTAAATTAACAATTCATTGACTGAAGTGAATTTTAAATCCTAACAAGACAAGTTTTGCAAAACAGAATAATAGGACTTTATACGTATTACGAAACTAGATTCGTTGCCTATAGGCAAAGGTTTCAACTATAACCGCATGACTAAACTTTACTTATGAACAATCTTCACAAACCCTTTGATTACTGGTAATTATCTTCGAGAGATGATTCTCGAAGTTTCAGTGAAAAGCCATGACGAGCTTAGTTAAAACATGTTGAGTGTGATGGAAATATCGTTATTACTAAAGGATGATAGTCGCTCAATTTCACGAACTTATCAAATTTGGATAGCAATACACTGGTTCAGAGGTAGCGTTCTCGCCGTAAGACCCAAAGGCTTTATGTATGATCCCCAATGGATTAGAAAACACATAATGAGACAAAGCAGCTGTCTGGCGTTTCTTATTTATCAATAGTTTTCTAATTATGATTAATTAGTAGTGTAAACTATGATGTTCAACAATATCAACAAACCTCTTACACTAAAAACGAGAAATAATTTTTCATTGAAGAATGTAAAGATCATAATATGATCAGTAAGGACCCATCTTTTCATTTGTATAAAGTTATAAGTTCTATAGTTTACACTTATCCTTTTTAAGTAATACATACACACGTAAATATATATTAGGTAAGACAAGGAGTTTAAATGTATTACTAAAAGAAATAAGTAGTTTAAATGTACTTGAAAAGCCTATTTAATTGAATTTACAAACATTTAAAAGAATCGTGCAATGTATGAATTAATAATAACAATCATATTTGTCATATATTACTTTGTAAATAAAAATGAAACTAGCATATATTGAGTGAGTGCTCATATGAATGCTGATTACATTAGTTTAGAAATGAATCTTTGAAACCTAAATATTAATTAATAATAGTTGACAATAAAGAAACTGCTAAAATCACATGAAAAATTAAACTTTGTTAGGTTAATTATTCCAAGAAAAGAAATAATTCATTGTATGATGTGATATACTAATGAATAATTTGTCAAAATGTAAATTGATGAAACAAATTAAATGTAATAAATATACAATGCAGCATACATTCTCACATTGTATTCATCTGTCTATAAATTGTAAATGATAATGCGTACAACTATTTGTATTCTTTGATAAACTTTACTCTGAACACGTGACTAGTCATACTAATTATATTACCCATATACACAAACACGTTATTACATGCTGACAGTTGAGTGATCTAATACCGATTAGAAAACAATGCGATTAAAATAAGACGAATTCATGTGAAAACAAATGAACAAGACACAATAAGAAACAAAATAATAAGGTGTAAATTCTCATGAACAAGGAAATGATACATACTTTTCATCCTATGAATTGATTATAAGCTTTATTAAAGAAACAATTAACAGTCAGATTTACACATTTTGATGATCTAATCAAGCTCAATTTCTTGGAGTACTCATTCCTGTAGTTCCTATAATGTCAAACAAGTTGACTGGTATACAAGACAATAATTAAAGAAACTTATGGTCCCAGAGCGAAGTTGTACTACCAAATGCATTAGGGTTTGATGTCGGTAAGCCAGAATCTTTAACTAGACAAACTTCCCACAGCAGATGGAGTGCATTAGAAAAGGTAGAAATTATAAGTAGTATAGCTCACCTTACCCCATGGATTTCTGTTTCCGGTAGTAAGATCATAAAAGGTAATATATGATGAGCTTCAAGCCATTAGCACTTATGCTTCCAGGTCATCAAAATCACGCCTGTATATATCTGTAACAGCACTCACATTCAAACTCGATCTTCTTATCATTAGGTGAACTACCATTAGCATAATATAAGTATCGCTTTCTTTAGATTAAGAGATCAACTTCATCCCACAACCAAACAACGATAAACATTCCAATATCATGTTAATCAACTACGATCATTGCAGAGTTGAAATACAAGGCATTCTGTTACAACATAGTAAAAACAATAGCATTACTTACTTCCTTATTGACCACTTCTTTTAAAGCGGTTTGTTTTAATTGAATAGGTTGACCACTGAAGATATTGCCTAAACCAATGCCACAAACAGGTTTGGGTTTTGTTGCAGAACTTGACTGACTATTAGTAGTAGTATTAATATTACTGTTTTCGTAATCACTATTCGACATATTATTATCATTATCGTTTGTCTCTTTTGACCCAATCTCAGGAACTGCAATAGTCTGTAAAATAAAATACATTAATTTACAACAAAAGTCGTGAATTATTTAAGGAGAATCTCCTTTTATTATTTAACAACTAGAAGTGTTTGTAATATATTGTTGAATAAACACTAAATAATCTCTTTTTAATTAAGAAAAAGGAATATTTTTCTTCCAATTCCATGGTGGTCTTCAGTCAGTATTAACAGACTTTTACCTGTCAAGGGGCATAGTCCGATAAGATAGTAAAAATGCTAGTCATAATCAGTAGAAAGTGTAAATATATCAGAAATATGCGACTAAGACATATATGTAAATCTGTTAGATAGATAAATATTGATCCATTCGAACATATGTTCTCATACGTTGACACTATTATTAATGTATCATTAATGGAAAAACGTGAGGTTTCTCAACAAATACAACCATGATATTACGCATTTCTAGATGGTTAATGCATAAATTACGCACTTATAGCTTCTGTACACCTATTGAATGTTCAGTATAAAAGTAAGTAGGATTTAAAATTAAAATTATTACAAAAAAACCGATAGAAATTTTACATTAGATCAAGTTTCAGATGTTGTTTAGTAGTTAGAATCCACGACACAGGGTAGATCTATTCCGTCATGTAGTGTAGAGCCCTGATGGAAGACTAATCATAGCGAAAGATTTTTCCACTTTATTAGTATTTCTTCTTGATGTCAAAATGGAATTCTTTGTTTATTTTATTTAACCAAGCCACTGATCAATGAAATGAAACTGAACGATTGAATCATCTCATCATGTTATCACTGATCTTTTGCTCATTTAATGAGTTAAAAGCCTATTATATAATTAATAACTGATGGATATACGATCATAAGTGATTTTTAACAAAATTTGTTAAAAAATTTGCACCTCTTTTAATTCATAAATTGAAGACACTGGCAAGATCCAGAGCCTTCTAGACACGTTAAGAAACAATGTAAGCATGTTTGGAATGAGGTTCTCTCCCTCCAAATGCAAAGTGCTGCTTCAGAATTGGGATTCATCAGCGCTTGAATTAATGATAGAGAGTGAAGTAATTGAACGTATCGACCACTTCACTTATCCTGAGAATTTCATCAGTCCCGACGGTTTGGTGTCTGGTGAAAACTCAGCACAAATTGAGACAGCTCGACTGGTTTTCGCCAACACGCGTTACGTTTGATGTAGGTGAGATATCTGTCAAGGGACGGGTTTACTTCTCGGCAGTTCGCTCCGTGCTACTTTATAGGTGTGAAGTGTGGCCATAAAGAATGAAGGATACTCATACGTTACTAGTATTCTATCGTAGGTGTCTTCGAGGCATTGCTCGTGTATGTTATGACCACAGAGTGAACAATGTCTGGGTCAGGAAAATGATACTGCGTAAAGATAACAAATCGATTAATGAGGTAGTAAATCTCCATCAAATGAGGTGATTAGAACATGTAATACGTATGTTCAACCTCCGTCCATGAAGCGACTGATGTTTCGACTGAGCTATATTAACAGGTGTATACTATCTGGTTGGAGTTCATGTGATTATCATAACCATTGGTTAGGAACTTTTAAGGATAGGGCTCAAAATCGCCTGCAGTGGCGTAGTGCATCCATCCTTTGTCTTCTCCCAAATTCCAAGCTTCTGAAATCCTTGTAATCTGTTGATATCATTAATTTATATTTTCTTAAATCTTATTTTTTATCACTGATGTTGTTACTATCTAGTCTGGGATTTACCCTAACGATTTCAACTCTCTGTGCTAATTGAGTATGGAAACTTTAACCGATGTACATACGTCCCAGTTTCTGTGTTGTGACTGACTAACTGAGTCATTTTTAATGAAACTAGTCATTTATAAAAAAAATTCAATACTACAGCCAAAAGACTGTTTCACTTAGAGACTGTTTACTATTGGCATTAAACACATTGCTTTTATTTTCCAAACGGATTAAGGTACTGGCATTAACACTGTTAGTATCATTATTTCTTCTCAATGAGCTACTAATTTAAAGTACAAATAACTAGTATAATGTGTGATGTCTAAAAGCATTAAGATTGCTATCATTGTTGAGTACTTTTTCGGTCCATAAATAAATCGCTAACTGCTCTGAAGATTATTTATGCTAAATTGTCGAAATCGATTGTCAATTAATGAATTCGCAATTTTTACGATGACAATCAAACATAAGCAAACTCTAATCTATGTAACTAATAGATATGATTACACATGTTCAAAAAGTTCACTATCTAAAACTAATTATGTTGTAAGTGTTATAAGAAAGTCATAAAAAATGAGAGTACATTTTAACTACCATTAATAAGCACATATATTATCGATAGGTTTCATAACCAGTCAATAAAATTTCATTAGTATGCAAGATATAATGATCAAACTTAGAAAAGAACATGCTTCTTAAACTGTGAAAAAGTTTACATAAAGGTGTCATGATCAGATAAATGAGTAGAGAATTTAAAGTAAAATCTATTCCATGATTAAAGTTGAACAAGAGAAAATTCAAGTAAGTTCATGTATTTTTTGCCGAATACAATGTTTTTTTTTCTTGTTTTAGATCACTTGATAAAAGAAACTATTCACGTTAAAAACTAAATTGTCATATAACCATAAATGGAATTCATACTTAGATAAGTTCTATATTGTTTATTAGCGACCAATGTGTTTCTGACAACTACTATATCCCTAAGTTATATTAAATGATTTAGTGTCTCGGAAAACCGTGTAGGATGATGAAAGACGAATAACAGATAGTCTTAGATCTACATTTTGTGATCATGATGCACACTAAAAACATCAATTCCTAATCTGTAGAAAATCTGAGTTCCTTTTTACATGTATACATCTGTAATTCCAGTCAGTCAAACACATCTGAGAACCTAGTACAAGTATACACCAGTCCAAGTTGGCATACTCTATTAACACAAAGAAATCAAATTGTCAAGTTGAATTCCAGAGTAGTAGAAATAGTGAGAGGATTAATAGTAATAATTCAGTGATACTTCCATGATTATCACATCTAGAGCTTCTGAACTGTAGTTGATCTGTGTAAGGATAGATTATATATAAGAATCAGTCTTCATGCATATCTTAATGTGAATAAAGACTAAACATATATATAAACCGTGCACGGTATAAATTGTTGTTCAGCTTGAGAACGCTTTCAATGAATGGTTATAGATGCTAAGTTTCATGGTCAAAAATCATTTTCATTGGCTCAGCTGTAAACATCTTTTACTTTTCTCAGTCTTTAGCTTAGCAGCAATAAATAAATTTTATTCTTCGATTTCATTCGTTCCTTCTAAACTGCATTTCTTACATGTAGCTTTCAACTATGACTAATACTATTTCAGCTTCACTGCTTCTCCGTTTGTTAATTTTCTCTTGAACCATACTGATGTAGGATGTCCTATCTTTTGACCAAAACATGTAATACACTATGTACGATCTAATATGATACAACATTATGATAAAAATTAATTAATTTCGAAGCTCAGCCTATGACGATTAAAATTCATTACTATCTGTTGGATCCTTTCTCAATACTCACAAGTTAACAGCCAAAAGCGAAGATTAATAAAAGATGTCTGAGGTCAACAAAAACGCATTCTTCGATAACAAAGACATTGCGGAAAGGTTATGAGAAGACAGGTTTTATGAAATAATGGGTTGAAGGTTCAGTTATATTAGTTTCCGTATATGACACAATAATAGTGCGTTTACGCCGATTCTGAACAACCTAGATTCAATCTCTAGAAGTAAATAATTAGTAGGTTCTTTATCGATTTGTTAGAATACTGTACCATTGTTCATGACTCTAATTTTGAGTATTTTTCCAGTAAACATTTTTATTGCACAAAGGAAAACTAGTAAATAAATTTTTGACAAATTATTCAGACATTTCTCTTCTTTTGGCATTAAAATCTAATAGCTAAAAGCTCATTACAATCACTGTAACATTTTTGGCATACTTTCTAAATAAATACATGGTTAATGACTCATTTATTAATGAATATTAAAAGTAGATGTTGGAGACACTCTATCATAGAACGTTACGTTACTATTTTTAATCATAATCGATTAGATTAATCACATGTTCACGGTCTCGATTATGTAGACGAATTGATCACTATTCAAAAATCACGAAAACAAATCCATACTTTATGTTTAAAAATGAATTTTACAGACAAATAGATGGAGTAGCAATGGAATCACCCTTAGGCCTGATCCTTGCTAATATTTTTCCAGTCAAACTGGAAAATGGACCGTTAAACAACATTCTAAACAAACTAGATTATTACTGTCAATACAGGGATGACACACTAATCATGTGTGACGAAAGTATTGACAAACAAGAGCTGTTGAACAGTTTCGATAGCGTTCACCCAGCTATTAAATTCAACCCCGAGGAGAACGACAATAGTATAGCTTTCTGTGATGTCCTACATTCTGGGAGGATAGACAGTCCCATAAAAGGAAATGTGTTTAGAAAGAATAGATGGACAGGTTATTATACCCATTTCCATAAGTTTACACCTCTTCACTACAAAATAGATTTGGTTAAATGTCTCAGAGACAGAATCAACCTTATGTCCTGAAAATAGAGTAAATAGCTAAATCGACCAACTTATGAGCACATTGTGAAATAACTTCTTCAAAAAAATTCTATTAGAAGGTACTAAAAAAGAAGGCGTTACATCGTCAGTAAAAAATCCTGACTCCGAAACTGGATTTTAAATGAGACATAGTGGGTGCTGTTTTAAAACATCGACGTTTTAGGTCTCCAAGTTACATACAATTTTCTGAACCAAACCAGTACTTACACAAAAAATTAAGGATAGGTTACCGATGATGAGCTCCTTCATGTGGGTATACCGATTCAACTGCTCCTGTAGAGCCAGTTACATAGACCGTACTCAGATGGCCTTATCCTTGAGTGTTCGTGAACATGTACAAGCATGGTTGGGAAGAGGAATCACTAAATCAAATAACAGTACCATT